TAAAAGGAATACTTGAAAACTCTGAAGGAAAGTGCTCATGGTTTCATGCTGTATTTCAGTATAAATTAGGACCCAGTGATAACAATGGCAACAGAACAGCCATTGAGATGGATCCAGACGTTCTTGAGCTGGTCTGAAGCTTTTGCAAAGCAGCACTCCTAACAAGACCTGCTGCAACAATGCAGTGCCATCATCCTCATAAGCCATGTTTGCTATATGGGCAGTGCAGGCGGAGATGTCAGCAATAGGATGCCAGTCTCTATTTTCTGAGAAAGCATTTGGCAGCCCTTTGTCTCTCATGTATAAGGTTTAATTTCAGAATAGAATGTCCACCTGCATTAACTGACAGGTAAAGTATGCACTCTGTCTTCTCTGTGTGTATATGCATGTATGTCACTGTGGCAGATCCTCCCATAGGTGAACCTACTGCTGAACAAATCCACTGGTCTTGGTAGAAGCCATGTAAGCATTCAAAAGATACTCCTTGTTGCTGTTGCATCTGAATACCTTCCATGGATAAGTCAGTACTGGAAGTTTCCTAAGGAACCTTTATTCCAGGCAGTCCCTGGCTGCTAATCCAGGATGGTTTGCTGGGCAACTTGCAGTACCATCCAGCTATAAATAGTGTGCAAACTGTCCAGTAACTTCAGGAAGGAGCCTTATCAGGATGTGCATGGGAAGGTCAGGAGTAAGCAATGAACAAGCATTGCAAGAGGGATCTGCTGTTGCCACAGTGCGGAGACTCTAACACTAGACTAACTCACTCACCTGGAACTAGACCTAGCTCATGGCAGAAAGGTAAGTGCTGCGCATGTTTTGGGTGCTGTTTTATCTGCTTGCAAAATAAAGAAATGTGGAAATCATTTGAACCACCACAGGAGAACTGCGGGACTATCTCCTTGTTTCCTGGATCGGGGGTGGGGGTGAGAAGAGAATAGGTGATTAGTTCCAGTAAAGTTTAAAGGCATTTGTGCAATTCTGAAGAAAAAGTATTTTTGTGAACAGCCATGGTTCATCAAATAAGTAGTAAGCATGATGCACCGTTTCAATCCATTTCTGCACATTGTTATCATTAATGGTTTAAGTCAAGAATGGGTAACTTCTGCATTCCCGGGGACTACTTTTTTGCGACACAGTGGTCCAGGAGCTGGAAGTGTATTTTACTGTCAGCATTGCCCTTTCATAAGTCCCCTGGCTACATAATAAATCTGGCACTACCTAGCTACAAGGGCTTTACAGCTGTGGGCTACATGTGCTTAGCAATGGCTGTATGAAATCCAGAGAGGTGTAATGTAATTTTCATTTCTGGAAAATCTGAAACTGGGGGCCTGTTGTCACTTTTTTTTACCACATGGGGTGAGGTAAATTTGCTTCTGAGGCCAGCTCATACCCATAGAAGGTCAGCTGGCCACCCCTTTTCTCAATGCTAAAACGTAACAACCTGGAACTGTGTTTCATGCACTTTAATGCTGATGCACCCAGTTAAAGGGACATCGGATCAGGCCTGTTCTGATGACGAGAAATGTTGAGCGACTCACCCACCGAAGGGTTGGTAAAGGATGTGTCTATGGCTGACGCGCTGACGTGTTTTTCTCGTATCTGTATTACAGCAGCAAGAAGGCCGGAGCCAAGGGCAAAGTTGGAGGGCGCTGGAAGTAAAGTTCCGGAAGGTGCCTGCAGGCAGAATCTTCAGCGGTGGCATGGCTAAAGATCGCTGGCCTCCCCTTTCCTCTTTAAACACAAATTCCGTTCCCTCGCCTCAGCAAAACCATAGTTGCAACATCAGCCTGGATTGCCTACTGCTTATTTCAAGGGCTCCCACATCTTCCAGAGCCAGCGCCCTGGAACGGAGATGACTCCCTGCTGACACCTCCTACGACCTGCTGTGTGTGTCCTTTTATTTTCCCAATCCCAGCCCTACACTGACTGCCCAGTAGATTGCAGTGTATGAATCACTTGGTTTTGTAAATAAAGTGTGACCGATAATGTACTTCAGCCATACACTCCTGACTAGTGTCTTCATTTACTTCCATTCTGTGATTGTCTTAGAATGCATCCCTCCCCCCGCTCCTGGGACCAGAATGTTTATTGGCCCAGAGGGTTGGTAGAATTTAGCCACAGACCATGAAATGTGTGCCAGTTTACACACAGCAGTGGGGAACCTGAGGCCTTCCAGATGTTTCTGGACTCCACAACACTGCCAGGCTCAACAAGTGAGGCTAGGGATGATGGAAGTTGTAGTCGAATATCTGGAGGTATCACGGTATAAGTCATACTTGAATCCTATGCATATTTACTCAGAAGTAACTCCACTGAGTTTTCTTAGCTATCCACTATGACTACTCTTCTTAAATCCCTGTTAACTTTGTTGCATTGAGCCTCTAGGACAGGGATGGGGAACCTGTGGCCTTTCAGATGTTGCTGGACTCCAAATCCCACCATTTCTGGTCACCGGACATGCTGACTTGACGGCTCACCCACATTTCCATTTTTCCTGTGATTTATAGGCAAGGATCCAAAATGTTTTTCTTTTGTCCACATTTTGTCCACATTTACAGCTGAATTGGAACAAACATCACTGCAGAAAACCTGACTGATATTCGCCCCCCCCCCCCCGATTCAGGAGTAAGCAGGGGTTTTTCCTAGGGTGGGCCAAAAGATGGACCTGCCTAGAAATCACATGACAAGCAGATGTGCGGATGACACCCGTGTCTCATGGGAGCTCATGACCAAAAAAATCTGAAGGGCCATAGAAAGAAATGGGGAGAGGTATGCTGAGGGCTGCAGCTCCTCTTAACATGATTTGCTTTCGCGTACACTGCTTCCTTCACTTTACCCCCACAGAACTACTTGCCAATAAAGGAAAGGTAATTATTTGTTTACTGGCAGCCTCATATCTAGTGTAGCTCAGGAATTCTAAGAGACAAGGGTGGAGGGGAACCAGTGAATTTTGAAATCTGTGATTCAAATCAGTGCAATTTTGAAAAGTTCAGTCTGCCATTTTGACTCAAAGTAGTGCCCAGTTGTATCCAAACAAAGATGAAAACTGGTCCTTGAAATCTCAAACCATCAGGCAAAAATTTAGAATATCGTAAGAGGTGTCCAAAGGTATCACAAACAAACAACGTTCCAAAATATAAAGCAGAGGTGGCTGGCTGGAAAGATGGAACCACAAAAAATCTCATTCCTTTTTCAACACCCTCAGTCACATTCACAGACAAGAACTACACAGCATTGGATTCAGCCAGCAGGACCCCATTGGTGTGCGTTAACTAGCTGTTTTGCACACCTGGAAAATGGGAATGTCCTCCAGGCTCCAGCACCACACAAATACTGTACAATAAGACGACCACCCGAGACAAGTTGGGCTCTGCACTCTCCTGACCTGCAAGATTTGAATGAAAACCATATGGACCAGTCCTTTTCCAGAATGTGGCCATAGGGTGAGGGAGCTCTGGCCTTTAAAGTTCAATATGCAAAGCATATTGCCAAGGATCTTTGGGAATGGCCATGAAAATACATTCAGGTTTGGCTCTGCTAAATAAACAAATAAAGGCTGGCCATTCAGCTTGATCATAGCGAGGCATCAAGAGAGCTTTTCCCCATTCCTAAATAGCTTGGAGACATCACTATTTGCTGAATCCACTGATTTTCCAAATAGCCACAAGAACAAGTTGAGATAGGGGAGTTCTGACTAAATTTTCTGCAAGCTTCACTGCCTTGCCATGTCCATAAACTGAGCTTGTGAATAGGAATACACTCAGTTGAGTGCTTTACCTGCACAGTGTTCTCTAAACAAAGCTGAATGTTGGAAGATTCAGGACACCAAAGGCAAAGTTCCTCTTCACAAAGCACATAATTAAAATATGGAACTCATTGCCACAGGAGGCAGGGATGGCCACCAACTTGGGTGGCTTTAAAAGAGGACTTCTCAAACTCACAGAGGGCAATGGCTATGAACCATGATGGAGATGCTCTGCTCGTCTCATGTGCCTATAAGGAACAGGGGAGTCCCATTGACTGGCATATTTACAAGCCTCTCCCACCTGTCACCATCTTGGAACCACTTATCATGCAGTATCTCAAGGGGGCTAATAAGGAACCTGCGAAGTAGGTCAGCATCACTTCTCTCAAATGAACCCCAAAGCGGACCAATTCCAGCTGTAGATGCACAAAAGGTGCATCTTTTTCCCCTCCTTCCTTTCCGTAGCTCTGTGGAGCAAGAAAGGGTCGCCGCGTCAAATGGGTGCAGCGAGCCCATCTGCCCTGCAGGGGGCGATAGAGTGACTTTCTAATTTAAATCCTCCGCGCATAGAAAGAGGGGCTTAATCGGAGGGAGCCCATAGAGATAGAAAATGATTTGTATGACACGCAACGTTCATTCTCACATTCCAGTTGAATGCAGCCGTACGCGCAATACAATATGTAGGATCCTCCTCCACTTCCAAATCTCTCTGGTGCCGTGTGCGGTTTCTTTGAATGAGAAGCGTTCCTGTCGTTTCACTGAGACTAACAGGGAACGAGAGCAAAGATGAGCTGCTCGTATCCGCAGATTTGAATTTCGACGCCCATAAGCAATCAAACTTCCGGGTCCCTTCTGAGAAGTAGGCTCTGCTCGTAGAAAATGACAGGAAACCCCCCCCCCAGGTATTTTAACGAAACTGAAATTAGGCAGAGCGCCTCTCCCAATAGTTTTTAGCTATCCCAAACGCAATGCAGCTGCATGAGGCTGAGCATTGGTTTGGGGCTGGTAGTGCAGTCCAATACGAATACTCGTACGTGCCTACTCCGGAGTAAGCCCACGGGAACAGAGTCCAAGGCCGAAAAGGGATCTGAACCAGGCAGCCTTTTGCTGCAACCGGAGGGATGTCTGAGCACTGAGGCTGGAAACCCTCGCGCCTGCAGCAGGGGGAGGGGAACAAAGGGGGCCAAAGGAGCCAACATTCACCCCAGACAACAGCCATCATCGCCGCTCTATAGGTTTCTACGTCTATGCGCTCCCCCTCTCGTAGCAAGATGTGCCCGCCCCTTCCGGGGGAAACGAGAGCGGAGGAGGAAGAGGAGGAAATCGGGAATCATGGCCCGGCGAATTCTGTAAGTGGCCGGTAACGCGAGGGAGGGAGTTTCCCTCTGGCTCCGCTTCTGCGCCCCGTGCCGGGTGCGAGTCTGGCGGCGGCGGCGGCTCCCGCTTCTTTTGAAAGGGCTGCCGGGCTTAGCGAGGACCTCGCGGCCGTGGTGGCGCAGCCCGGAAGGCGCTGCCCCTGCTGACCTCCGGCGGGCGGGAGGCTCCCCGGGTCGAGTCCCAAGCGCGGCTCCTTCATAAACGCCACGGCGGGCGAAGCGGGGCAGGCAGAAGGAAGCGGCTTCCTAGCGCAACGGGCAGTGTTGCCATGCATGGTGCCCTCCAGACGCCATTGGCCAACAATAAATCCTGCATTGCAGGCGGCTGGACTAAATGACCCTCGGTCCCTTCCAACTCTACAGTTCTAGGAACTACCGCCATACCTGGCCAGGCTGATGGGAGTTGCTCAAGGAATATATCCCTATTTCTGTCACTGTTCTCTACTGTTTGGAGGTCATCAAATAGAAAATCCAGTTATATGATTAAAATTAAGCAAATGCAGGCTTTTTGCTGTGCATCGTCTTTGTTTAGTTGGAGTTGCTTGGAACAGAATAAATTCATTTAGATCACCTTTCCTTAAGAGATAGATGTATAAGGAAAAAGAAGCAGCTTGTTCTTTAAAACTAAGGTTTCATAGCAGATTTATTCTTTTTATTTATAGCTTGATGGCGAGTTTATGATTCCCACTTCCTGGTAATAAATGTACTTGAAATAATTTGTATTAAGAATTCCAGTCCCCCCAATGGAATTGTTTATTACTTCTGTCTATAGATATCCCCTGTACCAGTATGGAAATCCTCAAACAAGGGTTTTCCGGACAGATTACTTCTTGACAATGGTGAGGCCTGGTGTTCCGCAGCCAGAAGACACTGTGCAATTCCGCATCCCTATGGAGTAAGTACATACAAGGAAAGGAACGTCTGCTTATCGGGTTAAAATGAAACACTTCCAGAAGACATCTCCCCAGAATGTTGCAAGTATTCTGGGTCCAAAGGACAAAGACAAGGCTTAGAATCATAGAAGGGATTCAGGGGTCATCTAATCCAACACCTGCAATGCAGCGTACTCAGCTGAAGTGTCCATGACAGATGGCCATCCAACCTCTGCTTAAAAACCTCCAAGGAAGGAGAGTCCACCACCTCCCGAGGGAGTCTGTTCCACTGCTGAACAGCTCTTACTGTCAGAAGGTTTTTCTGAATGTTCAGTCGGAATTTCCTTTCTTGTAACTTGAATCTATTGCCTTGAGTCCTACCCTCCAGAGCAGGAGAAAACAAGCATGTTCCCTCTTCCATGTGACAGCCCTTTAGATATTTGAAGATGTCTATGATATCTCCTCTCAGTCTCCTTTTTTCCAGGCTAAGCATAGCTAACTCCTTCAAGCACTCCTCATAAGGCTTAGTTTCCAGACCCTTGATCATCTTGGTTGCCTTCCTCTGGATACATTCCAACTTGTCAACATCCTTCTTAAATCGTGGTGCCCCGAATTCAACACAGTATTCCAGGTGTGGTCTGACCAAGGCAGAATAGAGTGGTACTGTTAATTCCCTTGATCTGGATACTATCCAGTGGTGGCCTTCCAAACAGGTTGAAATGTCTGGGCTCTCTTCAAGCACAGCCTCACATAGATCTGATTTGTATGTCACATTATTCCAAACTATGACATAATGGGAATTTGCGGGATCCTGGGGACTGCTTTGTTCCTCCCTAGTTCTCCCGCTGGGCTTGGCTGAGTTGAGCTTAGCCTTTGCTGTCTGAACCCAGGTCATGAGTTAGCTCTCCAGGACAAGCAGTGAGCCATAAACCATGGACATGCCTTGATTACAGCTCACGATTAGTCTGGTGAAAGCTAAATTATGAGCCTGGCTTTGTAGAGCATGCTAACCCAAGGCAAGGTTTATCTCAGCGCAGCAACAGAATAACTGTGGAAGAGCAATGCAGCCATGATCTCCTCACACAGAGCCTGTACGTTTGTGTGTTCATTGTCAAGCAATGGTTAGGCTTAGTTGATGGGCGAACCAAAACAAAGAATGCATTTCAGTCATCTAGCCTGGAGGTGACAAGTGCATAGGTTGGTTTCTCCAGGAAAAGACCTAACAGCTACTCCTGGGTAACTAGAATCCACAGCCAACAGTAGCTCTGTTGTGTCTGGGTTAAGCTCCAGGTTTTTTTTTTTTACTCTTGATTTGTGTTAATAAAATCTGCACCCCCCTGCCAAATATATTTCTCCCAAAGACATAGATTGTTGTGTAGCTATCTTAGGTAAAGGTAAAGGGAACCCTGACCATTAGGTCCAGTCGTGACCGACTCTGGGGTTGCGCGCTTATCTTGCTCTGTAGGCCGTGGGAGCCGGCGTTTGGCCGCAGACAGCTTCCAGGTCATGTGACCAGCATGACTAAGCCGCTTCTGGCAAACCAGAGCAGCACACGGAAATGCCGTTTACCTTCCCGCCAGAGCGGTTCCTATTTATCTACTTGCACATGACGTGCTTTCAAACTGCTAGGTAGGCAGGAGCAGGGACCGAGCAACGGGAGCTCACCCCGTCACGGGGATTCTGATCTTACCATTTTAAAAAAATATATATGCTAGAAGTGTTTCTTTCTGTGTTGTAATTGTTTGCATTTGGTGCAGAATGACAAGAGTGGAATTGAAGGATTACCTTGAAAGTATATATAAAGTGCCTGTGGCTGCTATAAGAACCAGGATACAGCATGGTGAGTCTTCTGTATACATTTGGAGGGCATTTGGAGTTCTGTTTTCCAACAGAACTCTTTCAGTTTATTCCTCCCAATTAATTCTATCTTATTTGGAAAGGCAGTTGTTCGCTACTGATTATTGATGCCCAATACAACAAGATTATATTTCTTTCTAATTGAAACAGTTCCTGTATTGATGTTGTTATCATCTCTGTCTTCTTATTCCTGGGAGGATCACATGTGGATTACACTCTATCCTTAATGATTCATATATAATCCTTAGAATTTACTAATTATCCAGCCATCCTCTGGGGGGATTGTGGTCAAAGCTAAAAATTTGGGAAAGGTGGCCCTGAAACAAATGAGTGTTCAGGTCCATCTTCATAAAGTTCAAAGGCATAAACCAAACTCAATTTTGGACAAGGAAACACAATGGAAAATGTGTTTGCATTTGTCCAAAATTGATTTTTGCCACCTATCCCAGGACTTAGGAATGTTATGGTCTGAAGGCCCACCATCTTGCTGAAGCTGAACAGATCTGCATCTGACCAGTACTTGGGTGGGAGACTCCTTCAGAACCACACACCTGCTGCAGAAGAAAGGCAGGAAATCTAAATGGAAGAAAATGCAGTCCTCAAATTGAGTCCAGCCCCTTTGTAAGAAAGTCTGGAGTATGGTTTTCCTTCAAGAATATCGTTGGTATAGTAGAGAGCAGTAGAGACTCAGGATTGCAAGATTGGTTAGGAAAGTAAATCTTTTTAGATAACAAGCTTCAAATTTATAAGAGAGAGAAAATGAACATATAAAGGAGATGGATAAGTAAAGGGCAAAAATGTGAGGTTTGCTAAAGCACCCTTAGCCAAATAAATGAGACAAACTGTGCTGAACTTTCTAACCATGCTGAGTGCTTTATTGTCTGTGAGCACAGTCCGCTGGGAGTTTGATTTCTATGAACTTTCCATCCTCCTTATAGAATCCTAAACCACTGGAAACTAGTACGTGTGCATGAGGAGAGAGAAGGGTGGGGGTTGAGGAAATATGATGAATGTGTGGAGATTTAGCTCAGACTGTTCCAATGTGTATATTTTCTGGGTTCTGTATTAATTGTAAATACATCATTTTAGAAACAGAAATGACACTTTCTGCTGTGCATAGATAAGGATGGCAGGTCAGGCTGAGGAACTTGAACTGTGCCAATGTGGATGCTTCTCTCAGTTTAGTAAAAAGTTTCTCTCTTGTACCGTGACATAATATGTGGATTTTTAAAAAATATATACTGATGCTTTACATTAATTATCTTTGTGTGTTGCTATGACCTACAGCTCATGCAGTTAAATAGAAAGTTGATTACAGTGTAAAACAGCATCATGGGCAGTAAAACTACATCCTTGGCACTCAGGAAGGGCAGCTGGTGAGACTACAAAACTCATTTCCCCCAAAGATCAGAACCAACTCTAATTGAAAAAAACATTTATTAGGGAAGGGTGGAATTGCTAGTTTGTGGAAAGTGAAGTGAAGCCTTCATATGCTTAACAGGTTCAATGAAGCAGAGGGATCACAGAAACCGACGAATCAAGAAGCCTGATTACAAAGTTGCTTATGTACAGCTGGTGAGTAAATGCATTTCTTAAGTGGCTGGGCCCAAACATTCTAAATCTTAAAAATCATTAAAGTTAATGCAATTTAGGCGGATCTGCATAATGTTCCTTCATTTACACGGAGTAGTTTTTGGTAGATTCTCTCTTTTTCAGTTGCCTGTTTTGATTTGATTTATTTCCCTTTTAAGAACTAATAGTGTTATTATTATTATTTACTTTTTATTAAAGATTTTATTGGGTTAGAAAAATACCTGCACTGTCTCTATTTTCAGATTGCGTAGTCTTTTCTACAAATCAGTTACATTCGATGTGAGACATTAATGTTGTACACGGTATAAGGTTGGAGGAGAGAGGGGGTAGACTTAAATTCTTTTACATAATGTATATGTGGGGTTTTTGCATCAGCGTCACTTGGGTAGGTTCTCATTAATTTTTATTTATTGACATATTTATCTCACATTCTTGAGGGGAGAGGCTGGGCCAGGATGTTACAATTCTGAGGGCTACAAGAAAGTGACTGAGAAATTGTTTAAAGTGCTTTTATCCCCAATGTTCACTGTTTTCTTAGTGCAGCAGTTCATGGACTCAGAATGTTGACTCTGTGATGCTAATGTCATGTCCATTCTGCTAGTCTCACAACTGGATTCTCACTTTTTTTTGCAGCAGCTGAAGAACACACATTTGAACAGGACAGCTGTAGAGTGAAATCGTTTAATCTTACTGGCAATATTAGTATCAATTCTCTTTTAATTTTTGGTATCCTCAGCGTGTAGCCAAAAATTGTGTTTGCTCTTCTCCCAGCTCAGGAACTGGAGGGGTTTCATATGCCTTGCTGCATTGGGCTTCATGGATCAAAGTCTTGCTGTTTTGGACCTGTGAAGCTCAGGGAGGCTGCAGAGATCAGCTCCTCCTGCTCCTTTCAGGCTTGAGAGAAGGTCGGGGAGCCTTGCTGAACTTCACAGGTGCTCTTTTGATGCAGACAGGTTTGTGTGTGTGTATCTTCACTCCTTCTGTGCCCTGCACACTCTTTGTATCTTTTGGCTCCCTGATAATTAACGATTGCATCTTAATGAGTTGCTGATCTGTGAGATGACTCTTCATTCTTTCTATTTTAAGCCACCTTTAGTTAACATTTTCAGAGACAAATGGAGAAGCTCTTCTTCAACCTTAACGGGTTTGTCCTTATCTGTGCAAAGTTTCTAGGTTGACCTTAATCTTGCTCTCAACAATGACTCACCTTCGGTTCCTCATGACTGGGAAGTCTTTGAACCAATAGTCATATTTTTTAAAAACCCACTTCTCATTAGTTTTTAATTAGTGGCTAATCCTGTAGGGCTCCTGTTATGTTTTTCTTGCTTAGTTGTGCGTAACTCAGTATTACATTAGAAATAATATTACTCATGAATGACGTAGGAGGAAAAACATTGCTAAGGCCTGATTTATATCAAATGGATGCATTTGAGGTGGTGGCCATCATAAATCAGGTACCTCCCCTAGGCTCTGTTTGCAAAGGTGAGCTAGGATGCTCTAGCTTCCTGCCTTGGTTCGTGATGTGGTATCATTTTCACAAAGAGCTAGTCCAGGATGAAACAGACAAGAAGAGAGTCCTTGGTCATTTCGAGGTTCTTTTCCGTCCTCCTTCCTTTGCTTCAAACCCTGCTTCACCCCTGGATTGGAGTAAACAAGTCCAAGGCTCAAACAAGTTGATGTTTCTTGGACGTTCTGGGTAATCCTTTAAGAAAGCCATCTGTTTTGGAAGGTTTTCATGTTTGCCTCCTGAAAGAGTCAGTAGGTGGCAGCATTATTCTTCCCTGTATTCTTTGTCTTTGGTTGCTGGCATTCTTACGCATCTGAGAAATATTGTTTTGTCTTGAAGGCAGCAGTTACGTTTCCCTACTCTGGAAGTCATCAGCTTCTAGTTTCCAGGGCAACTTATGCAATATAATATGCACACATTAATCATTGCATTTCAAGTGTTGGAAGATGAAAACCCTGATGTGTTAGACATCATATAACACATAGCCGTACGGGCGAGAGTAGAGAATTGACTCGCATGCACAAGGACCAGGTTGTCTGGAAGATTGAGAACTCTTTCCCCCCCACACACACCGAACTTGGCAAGTGAATAGTTCAGCGCAGGTGGTATTTGTCTCCCACTGCAAATGACCTCAAATTAGTGCTTGTGGTCAATATCACCTTCAGGAGTTTCAGGCTGTTCTTGGTGTGCTCTCTCCCTTCTTCCCGAGGAGAAAACGTTTTGTAGCCTTGATTATGATGCAGAACTAATGATTGCCTTTTATGCTTCAAAAACTAGAACCAGGTTATATATCAAAATGGAAACTGCTTCTGTGCCTGGAGAACCTCAGCTGCTCTCTGCCCTTCTTCCCTCGCCTCCTGCTGTTAGTGAGGTTCAGGCATGCAAGATCTGTGGGTGCATTTACCAGGTTAGCTGATGCCAAATCACTTGAGAAGGGTGTGTGACCGAGTGGCTAGCATAATCGTCTTGGAACCTTCTAAAAACTCAGAAGCTTGTTGCTTCGAATAGTTCATGGCTGGCACGTGTGATGTGGTTTGGGGGTCGTGCAAACTATGCCAGCTGTGTTCCTGGTTGTTGTTGTTTTGCAGCCTGCTGGTTCTGTTGCAGAGAGTCACTGTTCATCAAATTACAGTGCAGTCAACAACTTCACCTGGTAGAAGTAGTAAGGCACTTCTCCCTTCTCCCCGGTTTGGATCCCGTTACAGTCATGTATGCCTTCAGAACTTCAAGGCGAGATTTGCGTAAAGGACTATTCATGGAGCTGCCCTTGGATGGCTCTGTGGAAGCTTCAGGTGCTGCAGAACACAGCAGTCCGTCTGACGGGTGTGGGTCTTTGAGATCATAGTAGACCTTCCCTGGTTGGAGCAAAGTGGTTTGTTCGTAAGGTTCATTGCTCCCATAGCTGTAATCCTATCCTAAACGAGACCCATAGCAAATGTCCATTGACCCTGCTGAGAGATTTTGTCCATGGGTCCTAAACAAATGGTTGTAAATGTGGCAGAAGTTCAGATTTGACTGTCAGTGAGTAATAAACCACCATCTTTTACACTTGCGGCCTTTGCTATGACAAAAGATATAGGGTTTCTGTATGGATATTTAGCCCTCTGTGTGTAGTTATTCCTCTGGATATAGTTGAAGTTACAAAATGGTCAAGTTAAACTAGCTACTGAACATGCACAGTAACTATTTTTCATAAAGCTTTCAGCACTCCGGAATCTGACCAGTGCAAAATTACTGCATGGTATTGTGAGGATTTATAAGGCTTTCAGTTCTGAGAGTTCAATGTAATGTCTTGGCTGTTTCAAATCCTATCCGGCCGCTGGCCAAGATCAGCATTTCTCGGCAAAACAAGAGGTGGAAAGAGCCAACTTGTCTGCACTGACTTCTATTTATTAAAAGGTTCCAGAAACAGATTGACTTCTGCTCAATATTTGATTTTGACCAGCCTTGGAACTGGGAACTGGGAGCACTTTCCCTAGATAGCTGGAAGGGTATTGTCTAGTTCTGCTATCACGTCTGAGCATTGCTCTATGCCTTCTTACTTGAAACAAATGAAGAGGATGGGAAAGAGATGTAGCATTTCGTGGAAACATCTGCCCTGAGCAGTATACTTTCAGCCTCCCAACTCTGTGACTAGGGTTGAGTGTGCAGAAGAAAAGTTCAAGGGCTAGCACCTTGGCTCATCCCACAGACCATATCCTTGCGCTTTGAGAACAGAAGGTCCCATGTCTACCATAAGACAAGGCCTCTCAGTTTTCAGCTTGGCAGTAACCCCAACCCTGGTATATGTAGAAGCATCACTCAGTGACGACATTGTGCAGGCAAGGAGAAGGGACAGGTGGCAACCATGCTAATGTTGCTTGGTGACTTTCCAATGCTGCCCTTGGTGTCTATACTGGAGTTATTTTTGTTGCTTTATTTTGTTTTTTCGTTTCTTTAGAACTAAGGTGGACAGCAACAGCACACACCCAAAATGCTCCCAGGTGTTAAAAGCCCTTTCTCTCTCTTTCTTGTGTTGTTTCTGGAAAATGTTCACGCTTGGATTTCAGTAGACCTCCGGAACAGTTATCAAAAATGTTTCTGGGATCTTTCCTAAAGGGCAGAATTAGAGGAGCAGGACAGAGAAATTGCATTTGGCAATGGCATGCAGGGGTGGAAATTGTCTCTTATGTATGTAGGGGTCTGACCTCCTATGTTAGAACTTGGAATGACATAGTAGTGCTTCTGCTATGAGGCCTGGATCTCTGTAAATTAGGACCAAGATCTATCACCTGTGCTGTAGGGTGAGAAGCCATAGATGTAGCAAGCTAAAATTGCACCTTCTTGTGGGCCTAGTTCCCTTGTGCACACATCCAAAATCATTGCAGGAGACCGCTATCATTGGCAAAAGCTCAGTTAGCTTGCAAAGCAAAATTTGATTTGTAGAAATGCAGCAAAAATGCTCATGTCTTCTGAGTTTTATATGCTGTTGATTTCCAAGTTCTTTAGGGGTGGGCTAAAGCTGTGAAGGTATTTTGGAAAGTAGTTTCAAAATAGCCCCAGACAATATTTTTATAACACCTCTTTCTATGCGACGTTATTGTCTGATAGTTTTATTATACCAAATTCTCTACTTGAATTGAATGGAAAGCTGACAGGGTTGATTTTAATGAGGTTGTCAACACTGCATACACTATGGAAAAATAAAGAGATAATGTCAACGGAATAGAATGCTGTCCTCGAATAATAGGTTCCTGCTGTTAAATAAAAGCGAAAAGGTCAGCTGATGATTGTTTTCCAAATGGGAGACGTTGAGTCTGTGGCAGCGCTCTCTGTGCTGGCATGGACTCTCTTCATTATGGGGAGTGATTGCTGTAAATGTAATCCTACATTTCAGGAATTACATGTATTTCAAGAATCGCTTTTTATTTCCTATCGTTACACAGTTTTGTCTAGCAGATCATTTTCCTCGGTCTGTTGTGCAGCAGACATGGAGACACTCAATAGCCATGGTCTGTGCTGTAATGCACGCTCTCTCTCGGTTACACACACACACACACTTCTGGACCAAATGCTACCAGACCCAGGGTTGAGAAGATCACTGAAAATCTTCCCTAACTGATCCACGTCAGTGGTGATTCTGTCCCCACCACTTTTATATCTATCTTAAAGGGGGAAAGTACCCATAAAACTGCTGTTTGCCCCCCAGCAATTTTAACCACATGGAGGTGCATTTGTCTTCTCTTGATACATTATTCTGGGGGGAAAGAATGAGTTGAAGAATGTTCTGAGGTAACCCAAGACCATCTGCTGGATCGGTGTTGTCACTCACACCTGCTGCAATCGAGAAATGCAATTTTGTAAATGTATACAGTCTTTCAATATGTTCTCTCCAGCAATTGATCTTTTGGCTAGGCAGGAGCATCTTTTGATCTGACCACCTGCTTCCTGAATGTACCACAAACCCTTGCACCATATTTCCTAAGTCACAGTTTTCTGCATGGACATCTGGGTCATTATTGAACCAGTGCTGGATATTTGCCTGTCTGTTATTTATGTAGTAAGTGGCACTGAGAGAGCCAGTGTGATGCGGTCATTTGGCACTAAGGCTGAGGTGTCACAGGTTCAAACCTCACTTAACAGTGAAGCACACTGGGTGATCTTAGGCCAACAGAGTGACCAGTTCGTCTTGCAGGGTTTCTGTGAGAATAAAAAAGGGGGAGGGATTTATGCTACCCCTGTGCTTTTTGGAGGAAAGGTAAGGTAAAATATTCTGCATCTAACTTCCTACAAGCTCTGCTGAGTCTTTTGGGGGTTGGCAGTAATGTTCTGGACCAGCTGAAACTTCCCACAGCTGTCCAAAGAGTTGTAGCTGCTACCGGAACATGAGATTAAGCATTTGTTTTCTATCTTTAGGCTGCGGGACAAACTTTTCAGTTTCCAGACTTGTTTCCAGAAAAAGAAGAAGTCATTGAGCCTGGCTCTTTTGAAGATACCCAGAAGAAATTTATGGAAGATGAGAGGCAGAGGCAGAAAGGCGACCCCAGGCAAGCAGACGTTCCCTACTGGTTTGGACTTTGATGGAAGCAGCTCGGAGGGACTCAGACCATTGCACCCAGGATGGGTTCTAATCTTGTACTGTCATTATGTGGACGTCATCCCCACTTCTATAAATCCTTTTGAAAATACACTGCTCATACTCCTTTTGTGCAGCAGGATCACTTCAGCTCTTTCCATTTCAGCTCATGATGTTTCTTTTTGTGGATGGAAATGCTAACTGCTCTATCCATCCCGAAGGCCTTTTCCATTTAGGCTGTTGCTCTCCCCTTTTCCTGGTCTGAATAGTTTATTTCAACGCTGTTCACTGGCATATAGAAAGGCTGGGACAGCCAATACTGTAACCATGAGGGCCATATGCAAGATTTGGGGTGACCTTTGCTATCTCTGAATTGGCATAAATAAAAAAATTGTCCAGGAGCAACTTAGCACTAAGTTCCATTTCATGCGACTCAGTGTGGTGCCTTCCATGGTTCTAGATTCAGGTAGGTAGCCGTGTTGATCTGATGCAGTCAAAATAAATTAAAAAATTAAAAAAATTGTCCAGTAGTACCTTAGAGACCAACTAAGGTGCTACCGGACAATTTTTTAATTTATTACGACTGCGTCAGACCAACACGGCTACCGACCTGAATCTGAATTGGCAGACAGCCTCATACTTTGGGCACCTCACACTGTTTCAGGGATGACCCTGTTGGATGTGTGGGATTGAAGTGGGAACCATTAATGAGACACTAGCACGATGGCGTATTTGGGAGTGGAGGTATCGCGCAATGTCTTCCTGCAGCCTGAAAGATCGTTCTGAATTTTCAAAGCGTGTATACACAAACTGAGCTCCTGACCCAGTAAAAGGCACTGCCTTGCCCACTTAGTTATTGTGTGTGTTGTCCATGTGTTGGCTTTGTCTATCAGGATTCTCAAGTCATTGCATAAGGCTGCACTTCTCTCCCCGACTTGAATCAGTTACAATGACTTGGGAAAAGGTTGCCATTTGCCTCGATTCTTGTTTAAAGAATTCTTTGCGCTTTTGTGTATGCTTAGTCCTGCTTTCCATTTTCTTATCTCTTATTTTTCAAGTTTGTTTTTCAGTTTTCAATGAAGATGGCACAACATTAGGCAGCCTGCTCTGTGGAAGCTGAGCTCTGTTGCATTTTAGGGAAATACTAATTCAGATTTTGTGGTCTGTGGCTGGATATCCCAGAGGCCTATGCTGCTACCTAAACCACCAGTGTGTGCCTCAATAAACATGACCCTTTCCCCTCCCTGGTTCTCTTTAATTCAGCAAAGCGTCCGCCACTGTTTAGTAGGAGGGGAAAACATGCTGGATGTGACAGACTATGAGCATTTTTCTGTTGTTGAGCTCCAGAGCTGCACTGTGCCCAGCCAAAGGCTGGGGCTTTGTTGACTTACTCGCTGCAATAGACCTAAGCCCTTGTGACTGGTGCACATAGCCTAACCTGGCTTATAGAGGTTGGCTTAGCTTGCGTACCTTTCTTTATATCCAGACTCCTTTAGAATCCTGAGTGATCAGTGGGTCAGGCTTGCTTAAGCCTGTGGATGACCCACTTTCCCTTGGGATCTTCCTTTCCCCTTTTGCTAGCCAGCTATGCAATTATTCCACTGTTACTCAATCAAAAGCAGGAAGCCAAGTTGATAGACCATTGTCTCCCAAGAGGGAATAATATTTGAATCCCAAGGCAAAGCACATTCAGTGCAACATAATAGACGTATAGAAGTCTGAAGGGGACAGTTTCATACATCTACCAAAGTGTTGGGGTCATTCTTACTCATATCACCTGCTTTTTAATTAGAAGCTTAATTCATAAAATTTTCCCCACCAAAATATTGCCTCTACACACACACATATATATGCAGTTGTACCTTGGAAGTGGAACGGAATCTGTTCCGGAAGTCTGTTTGACTTCCAAAACGTTCAAAAACCAAAGTGTGGCCTTGGATTGGCTGCTGGAAGTTCCTGCAGCCAATCAGAAGCCCTGTTGGACGTTTGGCTTCCAAAAATCGTTCGCAAACTGGAACATTCACTTCCAGGTTTGCTGTGTTTGGGAGCCCAAACTAGAAGTAAGCTGTTCAAAAACTAAGGTACGGCTGTATATATATACAGTGGTGCCTCGCAAGACGAAATTAATCCGTTCCGCGAGTCTCTTCGTCTTGCGGTTTTTTCGTCTTGCGAAGCACGGCTATTAGCGGCTATTAGCGGCTATTAGCGGCTTTAAGAAAAAGGAAACAAACTCGCAAGAACTCGCAAGATGTTTCGTCTTGCGAAGCAAGCCCATAGGGAAATTCGTCTTGCGGAACGACTCAAAAAACGGAAAACTCTTTCGTCTAGCGAGTTTTTCGTCTTGCGAGGCATTCGTCTTGCGGGGCACCACTGTATATGTGTGTGTGTGTGTGTATGTGTGTGTGTGTGTATGCGCACAGAAGCAATTAATACATTCTTTTCTTTAAGCTGACTTGAGCAAGTTTCCAGCTTAGATATAAGGATGCTCTGTTCATCCTATGATACTTAACCTGGTTCACACAGCTCCTAGTAGGGCATTTCTTCCTGACTTCCTTTTCCACATCAAGACTTTAGGCAAGGAGAAAGTGATTGCCTGGGGATTCAGTTGTGCTAAGCTGCTTCTGGTGAACTTTGGCTTCATTTTTGCATAACATTGCTGCTCGACTGAATATGCCCTCGGAACAAAAAAATACCACCAGCAGAAGTTCTTCAGATTTGAAGGTGGAAGGTAGTGGAAAGCTAGGAGATGAACAGGGCACAGAGAGAATTAATCCCCACCCAGTTTCTTCTAGCTACACCCATGGGCTCTACACTGGAGCCTGGATGGCTGGACAGAGGAATTGTTTGGGGATGAGGATATTTATTGAATGTGGTGCCAGCTTGTCCTCTTGTGTAATTCTTCTACAGATGTACAAAACAACACAGAATGTCAAAGCTTGGTGAGTGCTTTGGCTTCTACTCAACTGATCTGTCTGGATGGTAGATTATTGATCTTTGGAGTGGTCTTTGGGAGGCAAAGGGTCATGATTCGTGCTTTCTTAACCAGCAACATAGCGAAATCTCCGAATAGTGAAATGGATAAAGTGGACTTTTGTCCACAAAGGCTTATACCATAATAAATGTTAGTCTTTACAATGTCTCCAGCCTTGTGCTTACTGTTTTTAAATTCAAAGTGGGTGATCATTCTGAAGGTATCCCTAGTTTGTTTTTTAATAATTTGCTTGCAGGCTGAACTGCTTCATTCCATTCAATCTTAATTCTGAAACTCAAGGAGTCAGCCCATGAAACTTAGCAGTACAGTCAAGGCAGGTAAAAAATGTTTTACTGTTTCACTTAGTGAAAAATTAACTTTCGACACTAGCTTCAATTGGTTTTTCAAAGAGCAGAAGACAACATGTCATGGAGATAATAACAGATTTGGGGTATTGTAGCTGAATTAAATATCATTTTTCAGGAGCAACATACCACCAAATATTGGTTTATGTGGACACAAAATTGTTAGATGCTACCTACATCCCCTTTGTAGGCTCTCTGGAGCAATGCCGTCCTGTTTTTTTGTTTTGCTTTCTCTATATGATCAACTGAAGCAGCAGCTCAGTTACTGAGGAGGCTTCATGTGAGCATATACAACTTGAATTTTCTGCTTTTGAGAGCCTGTCATTTGGACAAGCATTTAATCTTCCCCACTGACACCTTCTTTTTCTCTCCCCCCCTCCCCCCCGCCCTCAAACCTTGGCCACAACAAATGTTTTTCATTCAAACTTGAAATCAGAACAACTCATAAAATGTTTACAAGGAAACAGCTGTTCCCCTGAGAGGCAATCTAAGTAGGACTTTTACGCACACCCCTTCAGCTCATTAGTTGCCTTTGACACCCCCCTCTCCTTTTGAGTGTCCAGCGTGTCGCTTGCTGCTTACAACTGCTAGGAGCTGCCTGCCCCTTTTGTGTACAACTAACCAAAACAAATATTTCTGAGTGCGTCATGATCTACTTAAGCTAGCAGGTTGGTCCAAAACAGAGGGCGATCAGAGAGATTTTTTTTGCCACACAGTAGTTAATGAGAAAAAGCCCTGGGTCCACCTACAGCTGGTCTTAAAAAAGAAAAGAAAAAATCAGAATATATGCTGGTTTTCCAAAAGGATACAGTATTGGATTTACAAAGAGATGGCTTACCGTTTTGGATGGAGCTGGTTTGACTGAATAGTTGGCCTCCTGTATTCTATGTAGCACAGCTGCTTTGCAGCCACTATTGAATATTTATCACTGCATGTGTGCTATACAGGGCAGAGAAGTCAGTGTTCACTGCGGGGTTTGGAAAAATGAACAATTATTTAAATGATTAAAAATGGCACCTTCATATTTGGAAGCGGCATGGCTCTGATTACCAGATACTGGGAATAAACCACAGCAGATGAGCGCTTCTGCATTTCACAAGGACATCTGGTTTATCCACTGCTGGAAACGGAGTATTGGATTGTGGTTTGCTTTCATTCTGACTCAGCGAGGTGGGCATGTGTCTCGAGAGGCAATGGAGTGTGCCTCGAGATGAAGTCAGACTGCTGCATTAGCAACACCAAAGTGACCTCCCCAGGGCACAAGCCTGGGCAGTGTGTGTATGGAGGTCCCGGGCTGTCCAGGCCTTGCTGATGTGGTCCAAAGGAAAGCAGAGCAATACATTTGGCACCAGCTTAGCTGCGGGAGTTGCCGGAAGGAGGCATACAAGACACTATCCAACCGTCCTACACTCTGGATTTGTGTAGGGTTTGCTCCTTAGCCTTTTCTGCTCCTTAAGATATCCCACAAGGCAGCAGAATTTTAGGACCAGAGTTTTCCTTCTCCTAGATAGGCTACCTTCCTAGTTGACAAGCCCCAACTACTCATTTCCCTCCACACCATGTTCAGAAACCGCCTTCTTGACCATTGGAGCCACTATTGGTCTCGTCTGCTCAATCCACTGGATTGCATGCAAGGGAAGTCCCTAACTCACCCATCAGCTACCATCATGTGGTTTAGCCGGCCAGTCGGCCAGCCATTCCCAGGTTTGGGCTGCTGTTGCATACTGACAGCTTCTAGGAGCCACATGTGAGAGCTGAGTGCAGGGTGGGGACCAAAGGTGGACAAACTACTCCAAAAGCAGCTCAATGTGTCCCCCACCAGAGGTACTACTCCTCCCTTAACACATCATACAGCAAGGTAGAGCAGCTATGTTATGAGTACAATACAACGGGGCCCAGGGTGTTACTAGGGACTTGGGGCACAGGCCCACAACACAAATTTACATACAGTCTGTATTTGCTGTTTTATATGTATTCAGGAAAGTGGCATCTTGCCAGTGCTGCACTTCACAGTGTGTCCATATAAGCCAAGTTTTTCTTTTTTTTAGTTAAAAAAAATTAAAAGGAAGGATCAGGAATTCTGGGACTCGCCACAAAAAAGCTGGTGGTCAGGCGCCCTGGGCTGTCTCCTAACTATGGGTTTAATGGGGTTAGGATGAAAGGCAACAAGAATAGTGAGAATTTGGTAAGGAACATTTGGGTAGCAATGAAAGGTTGTGTGAGGCTAAGGTAGGGGAGAATGGCCTTTGCTAATGGAGTAGGCCTTTGGAAAGAGGGAGGGAAGCAGAACAGCCTTCCTCAACCCAATGTCATCCAAAACATCTGGAGGGGTAACTCCCATTAGCCCCAGCCAGGGATGGTGGGAATTAAAGTCCAAGACATGTTGAGGGCACCAGCTTGGGAAGGCTGGTGTCAGGAGGTTGCTTGTGGCTTAGGCCACCAGTAACATGGTGGAATTGCTAATGGTAGATAGGGAAGGCAAACTTCTTTCTTAGATTCCCCCACTCCTGCTTAAGCCTTCTCTTTTTCAAAGTATCTGAACAGCAGCCTGCAAATGGCTCATCTGATCCAGAATGGCGTCTTCAGCTGTTGTGGCCCTTTCAGCGGGTGCATTTTTCAAAAAGAAAACATGAAGTTAGCCACTGGACTTCAGAGTTAGCCTTCTGCCTCCTTTTACAGTGGACTGCGGAGAGCCAGCATGTCTGCAGTGCCAGCTGGCCCTGAAAAGGTTACCTGGCCAACTTCATTCCTGCCTCCCTTAGCAGTGGTCAACTAGTCTTGGGCATGTAGCCAAGTGGCTCCTTCCTCTGAAAAGCACACTGTGAGGTAGCCATGAATGAGCATCCTGTCAGCAGAGTCATACAGTAGAAATTCTGCATCAGGCAACAACTACCATATGTTCGGATAATACCGTATTTTTTGCTCTATAAGACGCACCAGACCACAAGACGCACCTAGTTTTTGGAGGAGGAAAGCAAGAAAAAAAAAATTCTGAATCTCAGAAGCCAGAACAGCAAGAGGGATCGCTGTGCAGTGAAAGCAGCAATCCCCCTTGCTGTTCTGGCTTCTGGGATAGCTGCACAGCCTGCATTCGCTCCATAAGATGCACACACATTTCTCCTTACTTTTAGGAGGGAAAAAGTGAGTCTTATAGAGCAAAAAATACGGTATATCTTGTGGGAGACCTGGCTAGTGTAATGTAGGGGGTGATAATCAGAGCCGTGCCCTTGGTTCAAATGTCACCTTTATGACAAGTTCACTAGGTGGCTACAGGCAATTATCTCGCAACCTCAGTTCCCCTTTGTACTACTGACCTACCCTGTGGTTGCTGTGTAAAGATCACTGAGAAACTGTATGTGTAGCGCTGCTTTGAACACTCAAGACTGCTACGTAAATGCTAAGTAGGGTTATTTACTGAATGCAGATTTGACTTTGCACAGAAACACAAACTTTTAAAACTGAAAGTAGATTCTGCCAAGCCCTCCGCAGTGAGACCAGCTCTTACATTGCGTAGGCAGGAGGGGAAGGTAAATGACACTTTTTAGAGAGCGAGACAAATATTGACACTTTCTAGTGCAAACTTTTTAATTTATTGATGGGGCAACATACATGATTAACACAAGAATGGTTTATAGAATAAGAAGCCCATATACCAGGATGCAATTGGATGCTGATAAAACCCAACCCCAAACCCTACTTTTCTCCCCCGTTAAGAGCCCCATTTCCACAGAAATCAGATACACAGGCACAGGCAAAAGAGATTCATCATTTATATGAACTGCCTCTTGCTTGCTGACATTGGGCACTCCAGATCCTGGTGTCACTCTTTTTCCAGACTTAAAAAAAACACGCTCCAAAAATGCAAAACAAAGAACCATGGTAAATGTGGGATTCAATCCCTGGAATCCCTGGCTCTCTCGCCTTTTGAAGAAACAAAGGGCTCGTGGCCCCGCTAGCTTTTGTGGCTAGCAGTCCACTCAGCTGCAGGCAGTCCTGATGCATTTTAGCCTGGGACTTCTCCTCCAATGCAGCCTCTGCCCCAGCCACCCCAGAAGTCAAAGCAGCCCCTTCTGGGAGGCAAGAAGGAAGTCGGCTGCCAGCTGGTATTTGGCTGCTGCTGGTAGCTCAGGAAGGCAACAGCTGTACCTAGGAGGTCAGATCCTGGACACAGAAGTGGGTGCATGTCTCCAAGGAGCAAAATGATTATTGGACAGAAGTGCCTGGAATGAAGCAACATCGTTTCTGGAGTGACGCACAAAGCTGTTTCTTACATTTGGCACAGGGAGGGCTGCAGCTGCTGGCCTTTCTGTCAAGTAGCGGAGCTGCAGGATGGATCCTTTCCCCCCGGCTCTACATAGATCCATGACAGAAAGTGAACCAGGGAGACGGCGAAGGGATTTATGGTGTCTTGCCTCATCTACATGTAGGGGACGACTGCATCTGCACATCCTCAAGGCCAACAAACGGCACTGAGATGATTAAATTGGCTCGCAGTATTTTATTGTGTAATCCTCACATGAAGCTTCAACGATGTAGGGCACGGCGTTCCTTTACATGGCAACTTGAACATGTTTGCCCCTGGTCCTAAATCTAGCTGATGGCTTTATCTGCGGGGATAGATACATTTGAGACTATTTCACACACACACAAAATGACTTCATGAGGCCGTTGCCCCAGTAGATTTGTAGAAAAACTAGCTGTGGTAAATTCTGAGGTTCAAAGCAGCATTTCAAAAGCCAGCTCAGCTTAAAGGGCTTTCAATGAATCTGGCAGTGCCAGTTCCACATCCCGACAATGTTGAGA